TTGAGAATGATGAGGGCAATGAATGTACAAATGTGCTTTACACAATTGATGTATGTATGGATTGTGATAAGAGTTGTATGAGCCCCTAATAAAAAAATTTAAATTTTTTTTACAAAAATAGAGAAATAAAAATAATGCCTACATTAAATATCCCCCCGCCCCTTGAGCTATGAAAGTAGGTGTTAGTGTGAAAGACAAATGGGTGAGATTGGTATTCACATGGAGTTCCATGACATTCACATAAGAAGACATTTATCAGAAACCCGATATCTTCTTTCAATGAACTTGAACCTTTTCCTGTTTTGAGTTTTGGATGTAACTGAGACATTGGCCAGGGTTAATAAACATGAATAATCTCTACATTTATTTGTATTCACAAATGACCTCTAAACATACATAAAAGAGCCCTGGTAGCATTGTGGGCTAGATGTCGGGCTGCTAACCAACAAGGTTGGTAGTTCAAACCTACCAGGCACTCTGGGAGAGAAAGATGAGACTCTGCTCCCAGAAAGATTTACAGTCTTGGAAACCTCCTGGAGGGTGGCTATGAGACAGAATGCACTCGAGGACTATGAGTTTAAACAAATAAAATCTTGTTTTCTCATCCTGTATATAGACTAATATCCTCCCAGTGAGTGCAAAAAATTCCCAGAGACTTAAAAATCCCCAGAGATTTCCCAGGGTTGCTTGGGTCCTCAAGGAAGCCTGGTGGCACAATGGGTTGCGCATTGGTCTGCTGATAACAAGGTCAGCAGTTTGAAACCACCAATCGCTCCTTGGGAGAAAGATGAGACTTTCTACTCCTATTAGGACTTACAGCCTTGCAAACCCACAGGGGCAGCTCAGCACATCCTGTAGGGTTGCTGTAGGTCAGAATAGCTGGATGGCCTGGGTTTGGCTGAGTTTTGTGTGTGTGTTTTCCTTTTTGACTCCCCAAGCCTGCTCTTTATTGATTTATGCCTCCAGTGTTCCCCTCCTCTCTATCGGCCTGCTGCCAGGTTGTTTCAGCCCGATGTATACCAATGTCCATGGGAACCCACCTGCTAAACACTTTCATTGCTATGGAGTTGATGCCCACTTAGAGTGACCCCGTAGGGCAGACCAGAAAGCCCGTCTTTCTCCCAAGGAGCGTCTGGGAGTTCCCAGCTGCTGATCCTCGTCCAACACCGTAACCATGGTACCACCAGGGCTCAGGGCCCACATTCTCTCCCTCTCCACTCTGTCCCTACCTCTTTCTTCTCCTGGGTCTCTAAACACTTCTCACTCCATGACGTCAAATGGTGTGGCTCTGTACCCGCCTCTCAACCTCACCGAAGCGCCACCACTGCCCAGCCAGGGCCTCACTAAGCACAAAAACGAACGAGCCTTTCATTGGAATCTGCCCTCCCTTGGGTGCTTTTTGGTTTCAACCATGTATTTTGTCACCCATCGCAGTGATTGTTGTTGTATGTCATCTATTTGGTCCCGACATAGCTTATTTAGTCAAGGATCACTCCTGTTTGTGTGAATGCTATTCGGTCATTTGCAAAGTCCATTTCTTTTTGCTCTCATTGTATTGCCCAAGTTAGCCACTCATCTCAGAACTGATTCACGGGTCAGTTTCTTGTTTCATAATTGATGTCTCCGATAAATGTGTTGATTTTGCTGAGCTTATAGCTGGGACACGTTTACATACCTATATGATTTTGTAAATTGGACAATGCAAGCCCTGTAAGGATTGGGGTGGCCAAAGTGAGCTCTTGTTCCGTGATTAAGACAGGAGTGTGGTCTTAATGCCTATCATGGGCTTCTTCATGCCACCTTGGCCACATGTCCATAAAGAAACCCTGATAAGTGGTCCCAGACAAGTTTCTAGAAGTAGAGAGATCGACAGTCATCTGTTTTCTACAGGAGCTTGAGCACACGCTTGACTGAATAGAAGAGGGGTCCTCAACCCTAACTGCACAATTGAGTCCCTGGGGAGCTTAGCAGAAGGTCAGCACCAATCTCAGGGTGTGGGACCCTGGCATCAGTGTTTTCAAGAGCTCCTCAGGTGATCCCATTGTGCAGTCAGGGTTGACAGTCAGAGGTCAAGAGTCTAGTGAACCAATTGAATCTCAGTAGAAAGAGCCCTGGAGATATAGTGGTTAAGAGCTGGGCTGCTAACTGCAAGGTCAGCAGTTTGAAACTACTAGCCACTTTATCAGAGAAAGATGAGGCTTTCTACTCCTGTAGAGTTAGGTTTAGAACCCACAGTGGAAGTTCTACCCTGTCCTGTAGGGTTGCCAAGAGTCAGAATTGAATCGATGGCAGTGAGTTTGGGTTCTTTTAGGAGGAAAATTAAAAGTCTCAACTCATTGCCATCAAGCCCATTCTGACTCAAGGATCCTGTAGGACAGGGCAGAACTGCCCCTAATGGTTCCCCAGACTGTCCACCTTTATGGGACTAGAAAGCCTCATCTTTTCCCCACGGAACAGCTAATGGTTAGCAACAGTTAGCAGCCCAGCGCATAACCACTGTGCCATCAGGGATGGTGAGTGTCGTAGCTTCAAGATGAGACCACAACAGACATACTTTTCCCATGACCCTGGTTACATCTCTCCAGGGGTTAAGACATTGGCAAAGAGACCCTGATCTTTATAAATCAACTCAAGAACGTCTGAGTCCTTTTGACTTTGAAAGGTGGCGGCTTCTTGACAGAGCTCTCTAGCCTTAACTGTTCTGTTGGAGACCCATTGAACGCTGCAATGAGTGCTCTCATTTGGCCTGGAACCACCGTACACTTACAAGGCTATTTTGCTCTGGAAGTGTGCCAAGGCGCGTGGCTTAGCAAAGGAAGGGAAAGCGAAACCAAGCCACTGCCCTCATTCGTGGCATTCTTTTCACCTTGGGCACATCGCCTCACTTGTGGTAGAAGATGATGTGTCCTGAGCCAGCCCGTGAGAGTCGGGAGCATTCCCTTCCTCTCTATCGTCCCAGGGTCTGGTGAAGTGTCCTACACCTGATTAGTATGGATTAACCATTTGTCAGTGACCTCTGCAAACTCCGCGTTTGTTTCAGGAAGCAGTGCAAGTATTGATTAAGCATTCGGCTGATGTCAATGCGAGGGACAAGAACTGGCAGACCCCCCTCCACGTGGCAGCAGCCAATAAGGCTGTCAAGTGTGCAGAAGTGCTCATTCCCTTGCTGAGCAGCGTCAATGTCTCCGACCGTGGCGGACGGACAGCTTTGCATCATGCAGCTCTGAATGGCCATGTGGAGGTGGGTATCCTCACCACTGGCAATGCCCTCTCCCATCCCCCACAGATCCTTTGGCCCCAGTGAAACCTTGTCTTACCGCAGAGACTTGGAGAGAATGTGATCATAGTTATAGATGAAACTTTAGGTAACCATCTCCCTGTATAAATTCACAGCCATAACGAACTGAAAATGTCAGCCTTTCCCTCTGACGTCCATGCGAGGGGGTCTGCTGTCCTAATTCTTTCAACTCCAAGTTCTTTAACCTGCCTTCAGATTTGATGTCAGTTTGGCTCAGATAGTCTGCAGAGCACCCTCAACATTACAGACTGCACGCTCGAATTTGTTGTTTCTTTCAGATGGTCAATTTACTCGTGGCCAAAGGGGCAAACATCAATGCATTCGACAAGAAGGACCGGCGTGCTCTGCACTGGGCGGCCTACATGGGTAAGGAGTCCCCGCATGGGAAGGGAAGTGTGCATTGCCTTCTTAATAAACCAAGGGTCTCTCCTGGTTCATGCAGATTTTCTCTTGGGCAAACCTGAATTTTTATTTTTTTTAAGCTTTGATTCTTATTGAATTATGAGTCTGTCCATGTTGTTGAAATGCAAAGAGCACTCTAGGGGCAGTTGCTTTATCAGAGATTTATTTGTCCCCCAAAGGATAAAGATGAGTCACAGCCAGGACTTCATGGGATGTGGTTCAGTCTAGAAGGAAAGTGGTACAAACTGTGTTCGTGTCAATTTTGCATGGCGGGAAAAGAGGTGTTTTTATGAAGAAAGATTGGGCACCAAAGCAAGGACGTTCATTCTATTTGTCTCTGTGTTTATAAATATGTTTGAAAGAAGCAGACAGAAAGGGAGAAGAATAGGCCGATGACTGTTTTGTAGATTGTGAACAGAGTCCACATGGCTTAACCTCTTTTTCTGAAAAAAATCATTTTATTGGGGGCTCAACCAAGCCTCTTAGTCCTCTGCCATCAAAGCAGGAATATGCAACTATGACTCTTGGTGGAATAGTGGGTATGCGTTGGGCTGTGACCTCAAGGTTAGCAGTTCAAAACCACCAGCCACTCTGTGACTCATAAACAATTACAGTCTCTGAATCTCAGAGTGGCAGTTCTACCCTGTCCTATAGGATCCTATGAGTCAGTATTGTCTCAATCAATGGCAGTGAGTTCAGTTGGGAAAGAGTTAGGTTTCTCGGTTTTTCCATTTTATTTATGTTGGCACAATGCCCCTGACAAATGGTAGCCCTTGCAGAGTATTCTCAGTGTGGACTTGTGGGAAGTGGACACAGACCCTTCCTTTGAGTTTCTAATTGGAGAACATCCTGCAATTAGGAGAGAAACGGGATTCTCCCCACACAGTTATGAGCTGCCCGAAGGCCTACGCAGTAAACTGTGGAAGACCGGTCTTTGCAACCAGACCCCATGCAGCAAGTCAGGGATGATGTCAGTGAGCAGATCTTGACATAGAGAGATGGCTGCCTGCCATCCACTAAGTGTGTGTGTGTGTGTGTGTGTGTGTGTGTGTGTGTGTGTGTGTGTGTGATGGGGGAGTACCAGTAATGCAACAGGACCCCATGCAGCAAGCCAGGGAGGATGTCAGTGGACAGATCTTGACATAGAGAGATGACCGCCATCCACTAAGTGAGTGTGTGTGTGTGTGTGTGTGTGTGGGGGGGGGGGCATATACAATGTGATCTTCATTTTGTAAAAAAACAAATTCATAAATAAACCTAGAAAACATATGACAAAATTTTAACAGTGATTAATCCCAGGGGGTGATGGCTACGGGTGATTTGGATTGCTTTTTAATAGCTTTTTACATTTTCTGGAGTCTTTTAAACGAGCCTAAATGCCCTTTTAACATCAGGGCTAAAAACAACAACATTCATTGTTGGGGAGATAAGGAGAGACTGGGTTGGGATAGGAATGGAATAAATTAACTGTAGATAGGTCTGAATGAATCCCTGAGCATAATAATCCATAATCTTAAAATTTTGCAAAAATCATCAGTTTTTCTAGTGCCATGGATTTTCTAGTTGGTAAAAGAGTTTAGAGATCTGTGTGGTACCTGTAGGACCAGAGTTAGTAATATTTGTCAGAAGACAGATGCTTAGCATACATTAAACAGTGTGAAATGAGACGGAAGGAACCTGAGGTTGGTATTTTGGGCTCTGCTGATGGATGGCTTAAAACATCTGGGCAGAATTGCTTTCAAGAAGAAAGGTCATGGAATCCAGGAGCTGGAATGGGAATAGCAATACCAGGAGGGTTGGGGAAGGTGAGGAGAGGAGGGGAGGAAGGGGGAGCCGATCTCAATGATCGACATAACCACACACACACCCCTCCAGGGGGACGAACAACAGAAACCATGGGGGAAGGGAGACAGTGGTCAATGTAAGATATGAAAATAATAATAATATATAATTTATCAAGGGGTCATCAGATAAGGAGGGAAAAAGAGGAGTTGTTACCAAGGGCTCAATAGGAAGTAAATGTGTAGAAAACAATGATGGCAACGTATGTACACATATGCTTGATACAATTGATGATATTATTGATTGTTATCAGTGTTGTAAGAGCCCCCAATAAAATGATCTTTTAATTAAAAGAAAAGTCATTATTTTGAGTATTACCAAGATCCAAATAAGGAAAAATCTAAAGAGAACTATCTTCAGCGAATATTAGGACAACACCAGTACAAATTGCTTACGATAGCATCACTAGTAATTGAAACAATTTTTTTTACTTTATTTGAGTCAGGGGGGAAAAAGTCAAATTTTAATTAACCAAATTAATACCAAGATTGATCAGTTGATCAACTGATTGATCTCTCTCCCTCTCCATCTCACACACAGACACACACAGACACACACGCACTTTCTTAAACATGCACTCCTAGTCTCACATATGCACACACTTAAAAACTCATTTTTATAGCAGATCCTGGGATCAGTCCTCATTTTTTTCCTTTCCAATATTATTTATATTTAGAGCAGTGCCCCTAGACTATTAAAAAATCCTCAATCACCAAGGGTTAATACATTTGTTGTACAGTAAGACAGGGAACAAGGAGTCCTGGTGGCTCAGTAGGCTAAGCATTGGGCTGTTTACTGCAAGGTCAGTGGTTCAAACCCTTCAGCCAGCCACTCCATGGGAGAAAGATGAGGCTGTCTGTCTCTATACAGATGTACATGCGCAGAAACCCTAAGGAGCAGCTCTGCTCTGTCTGCAGTGTCGCTGAGTCTGAACTGACTCGATGACAATGAGGACTGAGAAAGACAGGGAACAAAGTAAAGCATTCTAGAAGAAAAATGTCAATGGGAGCTGGCAGGCAAAGAACTTTCTGTTTAGCCACCATTCCCACCATTGATGGGAATGCTATTAAATGGACCTGCATGAAATTGCCATTTTGTAGCCAAAACTCAATCAGGCAATGCTAGTTTATAGGAATCAACCTGATCATCCTGGGTTCTGATTCACTCACACTTCTCCTTCATGAGTTTTCCAAACCAGATTAGCAATGTCAGACTTTCCAAGAAAGCACCACCAAAGCTTTGCTTTCATTTTTAACACTGCTTTCTTAGGCTGTGTGATGAATGCATTAGTCCAGCCTGGTCATTATTTACCGCATATACTCAAGTATAAGCCAACCCGAATATCAGCCAAGGCACCTAATTTTACCACAGAAACGGCATTAAAAAAATGTGCTGGATTATCAGGTATCAAAGAACAATAAACCATATCATTGTGTGCTCACCTCCCCGATTTGATTGCTGAAGACAAATGGGTACATAAGCAAATGTGGTGAAGAAAGCTGATGGTGCCTGGCTATCAAAAGATATAGTGTCTGGGGTCTTAAAGGCTTGAAGATAAACAAGCGACCATCTAGCTCAGAAGCAACAAAGCCCAATGGAAGAAGCACACCAGCTGTGTGATCATGAGGTGTCGAAGGGATTAGGTATCAGGCATCAAAGAACAAAAAAATCACATCATTGTGAATGAGGAGGAGTGTGGAGTGGGGACCCAAAGCCCATCTGTAGGCAACTGGACATCCCCTTACAGAAGGGTCGTGGGGAGATGACAAGCCAGTCAGGGTACAGTGTAGCAATGATGAAACATACAACTTTCTTCTACTTCCTAGATGCTTCCTCTCCACCCCATCCTCACCCCCAACCCCCCACACACCTCACTACCATGATTGCAATTCTACCTTACAAATCTGGCTGGACCAGAGGATGTGCACTGGTACAGATAGGAACTGGAAACACAGGGAATCCAGGATGGATGATCCCTTCAGGACCAGTGGTGAGAGTGGTGATACCGGGAGGGTGGAGGGAAGGGAGGGTGGAAAAGGGGAACCGATTACAAGTATCTACATATAACCTCCTCCCTGGGGGACGGACAACAGAAAATTGGGTGAAGGGAGATGTCGGACAGTATAAGATATAACAAAATAATAATAATTTATAAATTATCAAGGGTTCATGAGGAAGGCGGGGAGCGGGGAGGGAGGGGGGAAAATGAGGAGCTCATGTCTAGGGCTTAAGTGGAGAGCAAGTGTTTTGAGAATGATGAGGGAAATAAGTGTACAAATGTGCCTTACACAATTGATGTATGTATGGATTGTGATAAGAGTTGTATGAGCCCCCAATAAAATGATTTTTTAAAAATATGCTGGAAAACTCAGCTTATACACGAATATATATGGTATTGTTGATAGGCATCAGCCCTCTTTACTATGTAAGATTTTAAAAAAATCATTTTATTGGGGGCTCATACAACTCTTATCACAATCCAACATATATCCATTGTGTCAAGCACATTTGTACATTTGTTGGCATCAACATTCTCAAAACATTTGCTTTCTACTTGAGCCCTTGGCATCAGCTCCTCATTTCTTCCCCTCCTTTCCCACTCTGCCCTCCCTCATGAACCCTTGATAATTTATAGATTATTTTTATTTTGTCATATCTTACACTGTCTGATGTCTCCCTTCACCCACTTTTCTGTTGTACATCTCCCAAGGTTATATGTAGATCCTTGTAACCGGTTCCCCCTTTCCACCCTCCCTCCGTCCTCACCAGGTAAGTCTTATTGAAGAGAAAGCTCCCCATGATTCATCTTGCTGTCCCTGCGGGGTTCACAGAGGTCTGATGCATCGTGGGTAGTCAATAAATATTTGTGGAACATTTGCCAGGTACCAACTTTTATAAATGACTCTGCAAAATCCTAGTGGCCCTAGAAGCTAACAGAGATAATTTAGGTTCAGTGGATCATTAAATTGTCCTGTAAAGGTTAACGATGTTTTCTACTGCTTTGTTTGTAAAGGCCACCTGGACGTTGTGGCATTGCTCATTAACCATGGTGCAGAAGTGACGTGTAAGGACAAGAAGGGCTACACGCCCCTGCACGCTGCAGCCTCCAACGGACAGATCAACGTTGTCAAACACCTCCTGAACCTGGGGGTGGAGGTGAGTTAATTTTAATGCATAATAACATTTCACCACGTAGACTATGCATTTCCTGTTGTTTTGAATTAAATTGTGTTTGCATTTTAAATGAAGTGGAAAAAAATTTCTTGCATCTTGTTTTTGCATAGGGTGATATACTAAGTATGGGCAAACTAGAAACAAATTTTTCATATCTACATAGATTCAGAAATATATAAACATACATATTACATATAGTATGTATATATATCCTTCTAGATAGAGGGATGTATTTTATAATGCATGTGGATTTATAGATATGTATACGTATATATATCCACACACATGGATATAAGCACATATGTATGTTAAAAAATAAATCTGTTATCTATCTATCTGCTGTGTGATGCAGTTGGTTAACACTACCACAACTAATTGGCTAACTCAAATGTTAACCAAAGTCCACCCAGAGGTACCGCAGAAGACAAGCCGGGTGATTTATTTCTGAAACATCAATTCCTACAGTTCTACTCTTGACACACATGAAGTTGCCATGAGTTGGAGTCAACACAACAGTGACTGGACTGGACTGGACTGGATTGTGTGTGTGTGTGTGTGTGTGTGTGTGTGTGTGTGTGTGCCCATGTGCCTGTGTGCTGGAAGTACGCCTGTTTAAGGTTGCCCAACCCCATTCATCAGCAAATCCAGAAAGAGGGAGCGGACAGGATAATGATTGGAGTGTATAAGAGAGAGAGGGGCAGAAGTGGACCGTGTGTGTGTGTGTGTGTGTGTGTGTGTGTGTGTGTGTGTGTGTGTGTGTCAGAGAGAGAGAGAAAGGAGAGGGCCGAGTTCCGAGTTAAGAGTTAAGGTCGCCTGATCCCATTCACCTTCAAATTCAGAAAGAGTGGAAGAACAGCAGCAGGGGGAGGATCCGGCCCAGCCTGGTCGCAGGAGCAGGACTGAAGGAGGACCACATAGCTGGGCTGCTGAGATGGTGATGGTGAAAACCTCGTAGCTGGGGTGTCAGTAGAGAGCCATGCGCCAGCGACCCCAAGGGGCTCTGCAGCCTGAAAGAAGTCCAGGCCAACCCAAAGTGGGTCTGCGCCTCATTTCTGTGGCTAGGCTACACAGTCCCCTCCGGGCGCAGCCCCCCTCTTCTCACTCCAGGGCCTGTGCACTCAGCTCCTGAGTCTGGGGGCTTTTCCCCACCCATGGACCCAGTTCATTTCTGACCCTTGGAAGCAGCTTTGCCTTTGACCCTTATGTCTTCCTTAGTCTGAAAATGATTCTCAACCAGCTGAGCCCTCAAATGTCCCTCTCGGGTTCCCTTTTTGTTCCAGCCATTTCTTGCTGATCTTTGCCCCGGGGGTGTAAAGCATTCCCTGGGCGAGTGCCTGAGGGCAGCCACAGAGAGAGCCCTGCATAGTTAAGCTGATGCTGGACAGTCCTCCGTAGCCATAGCCAGTAGGCTGTTCCTGAAGAGGAAGGAAAATTAAAAATGGCGTAAGTTGGCTTCCCATGATCTTCATTGTTTTGCGTTGGATTCATTTGCAGATTGACGAAATCAACGTCTATGGAAATACCGCCCTTCACATCGCCTGTTACAATGGCCAGGATTCTGTAGTTAACGAGCTGATTGACTACGGTGCTAACGTGAACCAGCCAAACAACAGCGGGTTCACCCCTTTGCACTTTGCTGCTGCCTCCACTCACGGCGCTCTGTGCCTTGAACTGCTGGTCAACAACGGGGCAGATGTTAACATTCAGGTATCAGACTCTGTCTCTCGCGGTCTCTCCGCTACATGCCTTTTCATGGAGCCTTGTTGTGTGCCAGATCAACGGCTGGAATTGTCATCATGTTTAATGAACAGTAACCTAGAGACTGACTCCCACAGCTTTGTCCGGGGCATATGGACAATTAGCTGGGGGAGTACAGCTCCTGTTTCGGCAGCACCAGCTAGAGGGCACTGAGACTCAGTGTTCCAGGGCTGATGCTGGATCTCTGGGATACTGACTGAAGTGAATGTGGAGCTCCTAGGGCAGAACTGCTGACAATTTAGAGGGAGATGAAAGGAGTGGGGGGTGGGGGATGCCTAAATTCATGCTGGAAAGAACGCATGATTTGGTTTACATATATGTATATATTAGCTCCAAAAAGTTTGTACTAAAACTCCATTATCTCTTGAGTCACACTTCCCAGGAACTTTTTGAAGTCTATGTCTATGTGTGTGAGTAGACAGACGAGTGAATGGATGGATAGATAGATACTCTATATGTGAAGCAAGGAACGTGTATTATTTTCATGCCTGCAAGAGAAAGAAGCTGTTTTCACTTTGGAAAAAACAAAATCTAGATGTTAAGAAACCAGAGGATTGTTGTTGTCTGACTCATAGTGACGCTCTAGGACAGTGGTTCTCAACCTGTGGGTCGAGACCCCTTTGGGGTTGAATGACCCTTTCAAGGGGTTGTCCAATTCATAACAGTAGCAAAATTACAGTTATGAGGTAGCAACGAAAATAATTTTATGGTTGGGGGGGTCACCACAGCATTAGAAACTGTATTAAAGGGTCGATGCATGAGGAAGGTAGAGAACCACTGCTCTAGGAGATACCGGAACTTCCTCATAGGGTTTCCTAGACTGTGATCCAAAATGGAGCACATCACCATATCTTTTTTCCCATAGAGCCATTGGTGGATTTCAGCCACCAACGTTTCATCTAACCCGTGTGCACTTAACCATTGTGCCACCGAGGCTTTTTGAGTAAAGATAAAGTTATTAGGTAAAACTGATCCAGATCAAAAGTAATGATGATAAGAGAGTAGGGAGGAGCCCGCAAGAGAGAGAATTTGTAGGAAGAAAAGCAGCAGGGCTGGGCTGGGGGAAAAGGGGAGGAGTTGAGGATAAGGCATAGTCTAGCTAAGAAGGGTGGTGCCGTGTAGTGGGTGAGCCTTCAGCTCTGGGCTAGCCTGTCTAAATTCCAGCCCTACCCATGACTTTTATATGGTTATAAGTAACCTATACATCCTAGTTTGCTTATCGAAGACTGGAGAGACAATAGGATTAAATATCATGTATATAGTACTTTAGCACAGTCTTCCATATGATAAGCACTTGATACCTGATTGTTTTTATTAGGAGGAATGTCAGGAGAAGCCTAGGCTTAGAAGGTGAAACAAATAAGCTTAGTTTTGTTTGTTTGTTTCTTTGTTTTTTTTAACATTTTATTAGGGGCTCATACAACTGTTATCCCAATCCATACACACATCAATTGTGTAAAGCGCATTTGTACATCATTTCTCAAAACATTTTCTCTCCACTTAAACCCCCGACATTAGGTCCTCATTTTTCCCCTCCCTCCCTGCTCCCCCCTCCCGCATGAGCCCTTGATAGTTTATAAATGGGTATTTTTTCATATCTTGCCCTGTCCGACGTCTCCCTTCACCCACTTTTCGGTTGTCTGTCCCCCAGGGAGGAGGTCACACACAGTTCCATGTAATCGGTTCCCTCTTTCCTACCCACTCTCCCTCTACCCTCCCTGTTTTGCCACTCACACCACTGGTCCTATAGGGCTCATCCGTCCTGGATTCCCTGTATTTTCAGTTCCTATCTGTACCAGTGTACCTCCTCTGGTCTAGCTAGTCTTGCAAGATCGAATTCGAGTCATCGTAGTGGGAGCGGGGAGGAAACATTTAGGAACTAGAGGACAGTTGTATTTCTCATCATTGTTACATCGCACCCTGACTGGCTCATCTCCTCCCCGAGACCCCTCTGCAAGGGGATCTCCAGTGGCCTACTAATGGGCTTTGGATCTCCACTCCGCACTCCCCCCATCATTCACTATGGTAAGATTTTTTGTTCTGATAATGCCTTAAACCTGATCCCTTTGACACCTCGTGGTTGCATAGGCTGGTGTGCTTCTTCCATGTGGGCTTTGTTGCTTCTGAGCTTGATGGCTGCTTGATTACCATGTTTGTTTATTTGTTTTTCCAGGTGAGATTAGTGTTTGAGAATCTGATTTTAAACCTTCGGTTTAGCCAATTTGAGAAAATGAGTGATGGAAAATGTGATACTGTGGCCGGAGAGAACGGTCGAGAACAGAAGGAAAAACAATAGGCTGCCTCTTTCTAATAGTTGACACTGGGAGGAGAGGATGGGATCACTCAAGGAGAGAGTAGGGAAGGGGGCGCCTGCGTAGAAAAAGGAGCAGAGGGTTCTTTAGACCAGGACGGGGAGAAGAAAGAGCCCGAGAATGGGGTAAAAGAAGACCAAGTAGACAAGATAGCAGACTAGGAGAGTGCAGTGTCTCCTTGAAAGGAGATAGCAAGCAGAAATGGAAAGTAAAATGGATGGAGGGCATTTCAGAGTTCCCCATCTTGTGAAAGCTCCAATGGCAAGATGCAAACAGGAAGCCAAGGAACTATGTCCCCAGGTGAGAAAAGGATCACTGTGCGGGTCGAAGCCTCAGGGGATGATGGTGAGGGTGCTAGGCAAACAGGGCGTGAGTAAATGGGACCCATTTGACCTTCCTTGACTACCCAAGGGAAAAGGAGACTCCACACCAGTCCAAGGGCCACTGCCACAACGCAGAGATCAGACATGCCTCCACCCTTCAATCCTCTTTCACCCTCTTCTGAAATCAACAGAGCACTCGACTTCTCTGCTGGGTTGGACAATCTGTTGTAATGGCCACACAGAATTCCCAGACCACACTCATGATGGTGGGTTTATTAAATGGGTTGACATTCAGTATCAGGATATATAATCTTTGGTCCACAGCAGAACCTCTTCTCGGTCAGCAGCCAAGTCTCCTTCTGGTCCACAGCCTCTCAGTCATGTGGTCCCTTGGCTTCTGCCTATGAGCTGAGCAACCAGCCTGCTGCTCCACCTTGGTCTCAACGTGAAGCCCCTCGGCTCTGCCTTGATGTGAATCCTCTCCTCTGTCTAATAGACTCTGTGCCTTGGCCTCTGGTGCCTCTAGTCTCAGCATTAGGTAGGCATCTCAAACGTGCTCTACACTCGGCTCTTCCTTGTTGGCCCTGTGGAGCTCGTTCTTCCTGTTTCTTCCATGCCGAGGAATGATGAAACAGACCCATCTTTGAGTTGGAGTGTCCTCTACATCTTATTTGCATGGTCTCACCCAATCATTTGTGGGGAGTTACAGAGCAGTCATTAGAAGAGCAATATTCAGAGACTTTACCTCACCACAGGTTACCAAACCACCAATATCTCCAAGGTTTGTTGCCTTCTAGTTTGCAATACTGATGTCTGATAGATGTTCCCTTAATTATGCTAAGGAGGGAAAGTCACTGAGGTTGAAAAAGAAAGCGCTCTTCAATAACCTCCACATAATTAATTTAGTGGACTAGCTCATGTTCTCTATGACCCTTGCAAACATACTGATGATTTCAGAGTACCTGAAGCATAAAGCTACGGGCCACTTTTGGACACATCTGCCTACTTCTTCCAGTTAAATGACTCTATTGGACAGTTAAGATTAGATGAGCAGCTTCAACAGTTAAGCAGCTTTGTTATATCCTACTAATTGAACTTGAAAAGCATAGTTATATAATTTTAATATTTACTTCCCCCCTTTAGACAACTAATCAGGAATAGAATACAAGCAACCCCATATAAGTCCCGAGACTTGGGTTTATGTCTTACCCCGTCAGTGTAAATGAGGTTTTGAAGCAGATCTAGCCTCCTTCCTCAGTCTCCCTTCATCTCAGTTATTCCAGATGTATTCCGGATATACTGGTCATCTGACATCTCTAGGGAGCCACTCTGTCTGACTCTGGAGGTAGCTTCCCAAGTGAAGTTGTTATCTCTGTACCACATTGCTCCTCAGATTTTGAAAATGTTTATAGATGGGAAGACAATTTGTGTTTGTTTAGATTTTTCCAAAGTTGGGGGGAAATAACATATTGAAATGTAGCCCAACCCCATTCTATTTTCAGAAAACACTGAAAGTGATGTTTTCAGGAGTTTTAGATGGATGGAAAGAGGAAGTGTGATGTGTCTGTGCACACATTTTACAGTCCCTAATTTTGCTTACTTTGACCAAGGCCATGCCTTTTACTTTGTAAGAGTAGTTTCATTGTGCTAAAATAATAACAATCGTGTATAAAATGATTCACTGAAGTCTCTCTTGTAATTTGCAAATAGAAAGAGCTTAAGAAGTTCTCAACAGGTTCTTTGTCTCTATTATAGCCCACAAGTGGCTATCAGGTAAGCATTGGACTACTAGTTTCAAGGTCAGCAGTTCAAACCCACCATCTGCTCCAAATAAAGCTATCTGCCCTCATTAAGATTTACAGCCTCCGAAACTCTATATATGCTCGGTTTGAGTCACATTGCTTAGATCGCAGTGGGTTTGGTTTTAGGGATTACAGATCTCATTGTAGTTTCGTAGCAGCTCTAGATTCTTTCTGCAAACATTTAAAGTCAGTGATAAATGAGACGCTAAGCGTATAGCCATGTTGGGTTCATCATAGAAAGACTCAGAAGTTACTATGACCAGATTGTCTGCTTCCTGGTCTCTAACATGTGCCTGCCATGGTCTCAATTCTTTTCTGTCCACTGGCCCTTAGGCCGTGTACCCCAGAGCAACTGGGACTGAAGCCTAGCACCTCTCTGCTGAAGTGGATGAGCTTGGCTCTTTATATGTACAGAACCAAATCATAGAGCCGGTCACACTGCTGAGGTTGAGGGTGAAAACTAGAATGGGCTGGAGCAATGGTAATGGGATGTGCCAATGTTCAAAGGAGGG